TGGTTATTTAGGCATATCCTGCCTCTGAGTTTCTAAACTGTTTAAATAAGAGACAGATGCAGACACATTAGAGTGTGATTAATTAGCTCCAGAGCAGCGTTAGTCTGAAAATGTCATTTTCAAGACTTTTAACTGCAGCATTTATGACACTTTGGGATTTTAATTATGGATGCTGTGTTAGATCACGTCTGCTCTGAGGGACTTGTTGTTTAGCGTTCTCTGAGTGCAGGCCGAGGGCTGAGAGTTCAAGTGACTTCCTTCTGCAGCATGAAAGCTACCTGTTCAGCAGTGATGTAACCAAATGCTAAAAACCTGTTTGAACCAAAAGGGAAGCCATCAGTCATGGCTCATAAAGCTCAGGCCTTTCTCGCATCCACTCAGGGGTGAAGACATCAAAAAACCCTAAATGACCCGAACACACACGCACACACACACACACGCACACGCACGCACACACACACACACACACACGCACACACGCACGCACGCACGCACACACACACACACACACACACGCACGCACGCACGCACACACGCACACGCACGCACACGCACGCACGCACGCACACACACACACACACACACACACACACACACACACACACACACACAGGGAAGATCCAAAGTCAAGAGGAGGATTGCAAACCTTGGAGAGAAAAAATACAGAAAACAGCATCAGAATGAAGCCAAAGAAGAAAGAGAGGTGAGAATGGGGGGTGGGGGGGGTGGGGGGGGGGGGGGGGGGGTGGGGGGGGCTCAAGGTTGCAGCAGCTGATTGCACACTTTATCATTTAATGCTCTGCTACTCTTTCTCTTTCCCTATTATCCCATTTTCTCCTGGGATGTGATGGGGAGCCTGTTTATATTGGGATGATTTTAGATGCAGCCATAATGCCGTACCTTCACTTCCCTCGCCTCCACCTTCCCGTTTCCAGCCTCACACTCTGACTTCCCAGCGTCCCCCCCCCCCCCCCTCTGGCTGTGGATGATAAGCAGTGGCACCACTAATCAGGCTTGCCCTAAATTCGCCTGTGCCCCGCAGGATTAGCATGTTGGTATGGAAGCTGGTCGCCGGCAGCGTTAACCGATTCCTCCGCAAACAGGAAGTGTGTGTCAACTAAACCCTGTTTGAATGAGGAACTCTATTAATGAGTCATTGAGTTGAAACAACTAGGCTATTTTTATCTTACAGTGAGCAAAACTGTACTGCTTAATAATGCAGGAAACACGTTACATAAGTATCATCTCCAAATTCAAATCAACGGGGGAAACAAAAATCTGCTGAACACGAAACTCAACTCCACTGCTGATATGTCTACAGGTTTGGCCTCTAAAGGCTGCTTTAAATCATCAAAAAGAAGACGATCGTGTGTTTTTAAAAGGACTGAACCATCATTTCGTACTGTTTCATTATTCAAACAAAACCTTCACTTGTCTGTGTGTTTGGGTTTCTGCTGCTGGATTCAGACTAAACAAGAGGAAAAGCTTCACATCCAAAGCCAACCAGAGCCATGTTAGACATAACATCTGCCTGCCGGAACACTTCTATGTTTCTGAGCAGCCTTGCATAATAAAACAACCTGTACACAACGAAATCTAATCGTAGCAGGGATGGGGGCGAGAATAATCAACCCACTCTTCTTTGTGCAACAATTTTGACTCAGCCACACTGAAGGGTTTTACTAGCCTAGTGAACTAGACCAAATTCTTGCTTTGCAAAGTTTGGTCTAGGCATGCTCCATTGGAACCTCAGCAGCTCCTACCAGGACTCTGGCTAGCCAATCACAGCTCTCTAGAGGGGTTTCAAACACGGGCTGCATGGTGGCGTAGTGGTTAGCACTGTTGCCTCGCAACACGAAGGTTGCAGGTTCGAAACTCGGCTGCGGCCTTTCTGCGTGGAGTTGCGCGTTCTCCCCATGCATGCGTGGGTTTTCTCCGGGTACTCCGGTTTCCCCCACAGATCACAACATGCCCTATAGGTAAAAAAAGAAAAATTGTAAGTCGCTTTGGGTAAAAGTGTCTGCTAAGCACATAAACATAAACATAAACATAAAGAGCTGTGATTGGTCCATAATGCTCTATCTGCTTAGTGAACAAATCACAGAGCTTTATTCGCTTTGTGGGCCAATCAGGGAACTCTATATGCCTGGTGGGTGGGATGATGCAACAGAGTGAAACAAGAGTATGTCACATTCATTGTCCAGTGGAATGCGGAGATCATTTGAAAGACAACGGTAGAACCCGCCCCACAACCGAGAGCCGTCAATGGAGCGTGGCTTGCCAGGCTAGGGTTTTACAGCTAGAACGGTCTAAAGACAGACACTCTGACAGAGAGCAGAATTCATTGGATCATCCAGGTCCTGAAGTAGCAAAGCAGTCCAAACCATCACACTACCACCACCATGTCTGACTGTTGTTACCATGTTTTAGTGCTACTGTCGCAGATGGAATGAGACACACACCTTCAAAGAAAATTCTACTTGACAGTCCACAGAATATTTCCCAAAGGCCTTTGGGGTCTTGTTGGCTCACTAAAGCTTGGTTTATGCTTGACGCATTCACTTTCCGCGCGGTGATGCGGCTCGCGGCTGGAACGCGCTTCACAACTCGCAGCGTTTATGGTTTGTGCGGCTCGTCTCTGCGGTGAGACAATATTCTCCCAAACTGAACGGGGCAGCATGGAGCTCTACGGCATGCATCCAACACTACACCTTAGTAGAAGTAGAAATTACTGTTTACAACATGGTATTTCAGCATTTTTAACAGCGTTCTCGTCTTTTCCGACAGTGCGAGCTGTTTCTCTCCAAGAATTATTAACAACATGTTGATCACGGTGATCTCTGAGAGCTGAATCACACAAATGTCTGTATTTACGAACCTCTGCCGTGCCGGTCCGCCATGTTTTTCCGCGTCCGACCGTCCGCGTGGTTAGAAATTTTCCGAGGTGCGCGTTGCGGAAATCTTGGGCCGTGCGGAGACGCGGTGGAGGGGCGTGGTTGTTAAAATGACGCAACTTTTCCGCGCGGAGCCGTGCGGACCTCGCGGACGCGTCAAGCATAAACCAACCTTAAGAAATGTTACCACCTCTACATCTGTCTAGGTACATCCACTCTGTGGTTGACATCTGTGCATAAGCAGATGTCTAACGCTATTGGCTAATGCTGAGCGGTGCTCACTTCAGTAACACAGGGCTCTACGGATGGGGGCAGGCTTGGTAAAAGTAAAATGACATTGTTATATCACAGTACATGGTCAGACTTCACTTTTATGGATTTAAAACAAATCCTACATATTCCTTGAATGAGGGAAACTTCAGATGGATGCTTTAACCCTACCAGACCTGGGTGTAAAATGAACTCAGGGTTTTCTTTATTGTTGCATTGAATATTCCTGGTAGGGCCAGCCTGGTCTGAACAGCTTTGTTCACTTAAAGGGGCATTTTGTAAAACTAAACTAGGAATGACATCCTGTGGCCACGGCTATGGATGAGCACCAGAAGAAAGGTGAAGAGTGAAGCTGATAAGATGAATTTGTCTCACTGTAATATCAAGTTGTTGTTGATTGAAAACGTAGCTTTAGATATTTCAGAGCCAACTATTTGCTTCTAATTCACTGTTAGCATTGTTAGCTCAACGTTAGCCTCTAGACTGCTTCAGCTGATATTAGGCTAAAACAAAATGATGCTTCTTAGGAGCAGCAGTAGCTCAGGAGGTAGAGCGGGTTGCCCTGTGATCAGAGGATTGTAGGAGTGATCCCAGCTCCCACCAGGGTACCCCCCTGATGTTGTGTCCTTGGGCAAAAAACTTCACCTGACTTGCCTGTGTCAAATTACAAATGCCAGTGCTGTAGACTCGGCAACCCCACAGGTTGTAAACAAAGCCACGTCCCTATTTCAGTTTTTGGAAAGTTGAAAAACTGACAAACCCCCAGCCGGCTGAGAAGGAAATCTGCTTCAATGTAACCCGTGTAACATGACTGAGACATTAGACTCTTTAGTGGCTATTTCACTGCAATATTCTTATTTATTCTTAAATATTGCTCATTTGGAAACCACATCTCACATTTATTCAGGTTGCTTTTGTCTGATGTCTATTTGCTGATGAAAAACACAGACTGCGAAAAAAATAAAATAAAGTTAATATTTGACCAAATCAGCTACTAATCCATCATTTTTCAACATGAGAGACCCCTACTCTTTAGCATGTGAAGTCATAAAAACAATGAAAATGTTGCATGAATGAACTGGTGTTGCTGCTTGCATGGTATTGCATCAAGCGTTCCCTTTTGGGAATTCAAAAGTGGAAGAAAAACACCTTGATTGATTGGACACATGGCTTGTGTTTTGTGTTCAGTTGAGTAATTTGCAGATGTTCTCTCTTTGGTGCTGATTAAATGAGACAAGACTAAGAAAACAGAGAGAGAGAGAGAGAGAAAACAGAGAGAGAGAAAACAGAGAGAGAGAGAGAGAGAAAACAGAGAGAGAGAGAGAGAGAGAGAGAGAGAGAGAGAGAGAGAGAGAGAGAGAGAGAGAGAGAGAGAGAGAGGGAGAGAGAGATGTATTCAGGCAAAAGTGCAAAGCTCTAAAAATCACCTCACCGCATCCCCGTAGAGAGATACACACACTGGTGCACACATGCTCAGGTGAACACACATTTGCATGCTAGCTTTGCTGCAGCAACACACGGTGGTTAGGTGCATGACTCAAACAGCGTGCAACCAACAGCATCATCTCTAGAATAATCAGTAACTATTTTAATTGCACGCAAAAGCTGTTAAAGTTTTACAACGTATCAACTGAGCACACAACTACACGGCCGTACGGAAACCACACAGCAGCTAATACCCACGTGTGGTGTGAAACACACACACACACAGCACAGATACCACAAGTGATTATTAGAACAGAAGTGTCTCATTGCCTGTAAGACCTTCACAAGTTCTCACAAGTCTATGCTGACGGAGCATGAACGATGAATCTTTAAGGCCGTCTGATTGTTCACCTTAGCTTCATCTGTAATTTGCTGGTGAAGGTTCTCAGTCATCCAGGTCATGGTATCCAAAGTGTTCAAATGAAGGCAACTGGACTTCTTTGGTTTCTTGAAGACGTTTGGTGTTTCATCGCATTTCATCTGTAATACAACTTTGGTCCTTCAAATTAAGATTCTGTGGTCATTGACTGGAAAATGGTCACTAAGACCACAAAAAACCAAATGACTGTTTTGTTATTTCATAAATAAAAAAAGGATCCGACTGACAATCAGCTGCTAATAGTGCTCCCATTTCTAAATCAAGTGACGCATCTGTGGTAACGGCAAACAGGAAGTGTGAGTCTGTCTCACAGTTAAATGCCATGGTTTAATGTTTAACAAAGTCCGTTTCCTGCTGTCTGCTGATACAGAGTTAGTTTTAAGGCCCAGCCATTTACAGTTAATGGTTGAACTTTATATTTTCTAAGGTGTTTCCATCTGCAGAATCACTCAAATGAAAAAAAACCTGTTCGAGAATAAGAAAGTAGCACTTTTTCACATAATTTAGACAAAATAGTTGATATACTTTTAATGGAGCATTCATGTTTCAAGCTACAGATGGATCTTATGTATATTTTATGTACATTTATGTGCTAATGTTAATCTGCATCTAGATAATAATTAGTTTACATTACGATAAATGGATATACCATTACCTAGAGTTTAGGAAGACTGCAGGCACAGATTGATTTCCGCATTTGGCAGAGGTTAGTATATTATACCTAATTTCCTACCTGATCAATTACAGTGCTGCTATAAAAGCGGAGAAGAGCCGCTACAGGAAACTGGATGTCCAAATATGGTTTAGGTACAGAGTGAGACATGTTTTTTTTCCCTCATCATCAGAGTTGATTGTGTGATTAAGTGTTGATGGCACATCACAGGGCCAGTGAGAGTCAGGTGAGGATTGAGAACAATAATAACTTATTCTGAGACGTACTGCCAGTGTGTTTTGCCCTCATTTCACAATGTGGATGACATTACAAAATAAAAGCATGTTTGTACAGTTTAATGTGATAAAGTTGTTCTATTACTCATATTGTTTTGCTAATCATTTTTGGTTTGTGAACCAAAATTAAAACAAAAACTGACTAATGCATAGTCCAAACTGGTGTAGAATAACAGACTTTCTTTTTTCTTTTTTAGCAGAATTGATCAAATATTTACAGTGATGATGTCATTGTGCTCTGAGATTGGACTTTGAGGTTCACCTCATCAATATAAGGAGCTAATCAAGCCTCAGCAAGATCAGTGGAAAATTACTGGGGCGAAGAGGTCAAAGACAAGCAGGTAGAGTTGTTTCTGTTTTCCAGATGACTCCGGTAAAGTAAGGCATTGACCTCAAGTTTCTTGTATTCACATTCCAGTCACTAGCAGGGACCTTATCTATCGTCACTCCTGCAGAAACACGCCCCTTCAAGACGACTTTGCTCCGCTGCCAACAACCTACTGGTTGTTCCACAAACTAACCTTAAGAGCCGTGAGACAGAATTTTTGCCGCCTTTGCACCTAAATTGTGGAACAGCCGTCCACTGGAAATTAGATGTGCAACTTCCATTGGGACTTTTAAAGCATAACTGAAAATGCACTACAGACTCACAACAGCCCGTTAGGCCTCTGGTCTGATTGTTTTTAACTGACTTTTGCTTGGTTTTAGTTTTTATAGGAATGCAGTGTTTGCCTGTATTGGTACTCAACACGAGCTCATGTGCAGTACTTTTTAAAATTTAACTATTAGGATAGACCATTCTCAATTTTAATGCTCGTTGTTTTGCATTGTTGTGTTCAGCACTTTGAGCTGCCTTGACAGGAAAGGCAGGCGCTTTATGAATGAATGAATGAATGAATGAATGAATGAATCCTAAACTCATAAACAAGTGTCAGACAACTGAGTTCAGGCTTTGAGAAATGTAAAGCTGTTAGGTTTGTCTCACATGCCATAACCCATAAGAACCATTTTTGGTTGAGGTAACAAATGAAATATTCCATTAGCTTAATTTAAGTTCAACTTTGGGAAAAGGTCATTTTGTACCACACTTTAATGTGTTCAATGGGTTCTACATTTATTTGACCAGAACATTTACAAATAACAATATTTAACTGGCAGAGCAGATTTCAGCACAATAGTGGACGTTTGAAAAACCAACCTGAGAGTGTTTAGGGTGACAGACGTGGAAAAACAGCCATCCTGCACACGTCATATTACTGCTACTGGAAACCTGAATGGTCTACCTCCCCTGTGATGGAGGGGGAAATTTAAACATTTCCATCCACAGTAAAGCCATTTTAGAAACCCACAAAAGTACACACATACCAGGTGACCCCACATCCTAAATCTCACAACCCACAACCTCCAACAGCGTCAGGAACATCTGCTCTCCTGCATTTCCATCATGTGTTGTCTGTGGAAAACCAACTGGTTTCACTGGTTCAGGGTAAGAAAGGTGGTTCCAATTAAACCTGTATTTCAGGACCTAGGTCTCACATTAAATCCTGCAAATAAACACTCTAGGTTTAAAGCTGATTAGTCTGTTTTAATTTTCAGAAGAGTGTTTCTTAGACTTGAGTGTTTTCATGACTGAATCTTCCTCCATGGTTCTAAAGCAAATGTTCTTCTCTGGTTCATCACAGAGCCCGCTGCACCAATGTCTGGGATGTGGCCATAGCACAATGTGATTTTTGGTTTTTCATTCAGAAATATTTACAAAGGGTTGACTATTGTCTTAACCCAACTAGCAGGTGTTTCAGAAGAAAAGATGAAACATTTTATGAAAAGTAAAATAGTTCAGTTATATGAGTAAAAAGCTCAGAAATGCTCTTCTTTCCACTTTTAACAATATTTCATGCATGGCTTTGAAAACACCTAATTAACCAAGTCCTTGAAAAAAATGTTTTTCTGAGTTGAACCACCTTACACACACACACACACACACACACACACACACACACACACACGCACACACACCATTTAACAGGAGACAGTGGCATTTAGAATTCATAACAAGACTCAACGTTCCCCCCTCTGCCATCATAGTACTGCGTTTGGTTCTATTCTTGATACAGAACAAAGTAGCAGGGTGTTGAACTCACACAGACCTCAGATCAAAGCTACCAACGTTTAACCCAAAGCAAAAGGCGTACACTGAGAGCATGTGTGTGTCGGCATTAGGGCTGAACAGTTCTAGGAAAATATTCAATTGCGATTTTTCTAGGAGAAACTGCAATTTCAGTTTGACTTACAATTTTCTTCAAATCAAGGTTCAACAAGTTATTCACATTGGGGCTGGGCGATATGGCCTAAAATCAATATCACAATATATATTGAGGATTTCACCTCGATAACGATAAATGGACGATAACTACAGGTATGCGCAGAAACAAAAGTTGTCCACTAGATGGGGCTGTCACGTGTATTACGTTGAGTCACATTTTTACGTAACTCAAGGTGGTACATCTTGTTAAACGGACATGAATGTTGCCAACATACACACAGTTTTTCATTTCTTTATTATCAAATTTATTGACTTGGGAAAAATTATCACGATAAGAGTCAGAAGTTTCCATAACGATACATTTTCGATTTATTGCCCAGCCCTAATTCACAATACAGTCAAATAAATCATATCATACAAACATTTTATTTTTACCGTGCTTGTGGATGGAGTTGTGGTTTTACAGTTTTTCTCCATTGGTTTGGCTCATTTCTTGAAACAGAAATTACATTCTCAAAATAACATGGACAAACCTCCAAACCTCTTGGCAAATGTTCACAACAGAATGGCATTTCTTATTCATTTTATCAAATGGCAAATGCCTTGGTACATGTCTCAATTGTCTCAGTGCATCTTTGCAAATGATTAAGTACATGTAGCCTACATTTATAAGGTTAGCCCACATTTAGCACATTTTCCAAATGAATAGATCTTGTAGATCTAAACTGATTAGTTGATTCTCAGTCTAATGATCCTTCTCTCCAAAACATGTCAGCATGATTTCATTGCATAAGTACTCGCATGCACAACTGTCTGTTCAATTGTCAGAACTGGTCAATAACTTAATACCATGAATACCACATATCAATTTCTTTGAATATTTGATACATTGATGACAGTCATTGACAGTCAGGTGAAACTAGACTAACGAACAGGGAGTGTCACACACAGGTGTTTTCCGTGATCGTGTGTTGCCATTTCTGACAATGGTGTGGCCACTCACATCCCCAGTCTTGGCCCACACAACACACACAAGCTCCTCATCTTCTTGGATCGCCTTTATACTGATTTTATCCCTGAAAATGAGAGAGGTCTCATAGGGCCTCACCTACCCATTTATGTTATTGTGTGGGACAATGTCAATTTCCACCATAGCCCACTCATTAGGGGCTGGTTTGCAGCGCATCCAAGGATGTCATGGAGCTCCTACCACCTTACTCTCCTTTCTTCAATCCGACAGAGGAGTTTTTCTCTGCTTGGAGGTGGAGAGTGTATGAGCATCATGCTCAGGATCAGCCGTCCCTGCTCCATGCTATGGACGCAGCGTGTGACGACACTACAGGAGATCAATGCTGGGGATGGTTGCGGCATGCACGCCGTTTCTTCCCTCGTTGCATCGCAAGAGAAAATATCTGCTGTGGTGTGGACGAGAATCTGTGGCCAGATGGGCAACAGCGTGTAAATAATCAGGAGAGTGAAGACAGTGGACAAGAGCGGGAGAATGAGTACAGCGACCACTGAATACGTCCTTGTTTTGATTTTGTGTTCATACAATTTACTGTATTACTGTAACGTACATTTTCTTTTTACAAATGTATGAAACTTTCTTTGCGTGTGAATAAAAAATGGTTATAATTTCCTTGGTAGTGTGAGTGCAATCTGTGATGTCAAACCTTGGAGGCTACTCTTTTTGGTTGTATTGTTGGTCCTCTGCCATAGTGACAAAACATCTAAATATTTTGTATGGCATTACTCACACAATGCCAAAGGGACGATGCATTTTGGGGGCACTGACTATTCAGATTAGAAAGAAATGTAGTTTTGACACATGAGTGAACTGTTTTAGGAGAGATATGAGCTTTTGTAGGTAAGCCATGTTATTGTGATCAACCATCCAGGTTTATTCTGACAAAAGCACCAAGAATGATGAGAATGTCCGATCTGTGTCGAGAAATGAGCCAAAGCTATTGAGAAGGATCTTTGCCATTTAGGAGACACTGACTGTTTAAATGAGAAAGGGATTTAGATTGAAGCCTGAGTGAACAGTTTTGGAAGATGCATGAGCTTTTGCAGGTGAGCTATAGTGTTCTCCTAAACTATAAAAGTGTTTTGCCAAATGATCTTAGAGGTTTGAGAATGTAATTTCTGTTTCAAGGAATGAGCCAAACCAATAGAGAAAAACTGTAATATAAAGAGGTGCTTTATAAAAAATACATTCTACTTGTAATGCACGGAGGAAAACTAAAGATAAATAGCTTTCAAATGTATATACAGGTGCTGGCCAGTAAATTAGAATATCATCAAAAGGTTGAAAATATTTCAGTAATTCCATTCAAAACGTGAAACTTGTACATTATATTCATGCAATGCACACAGACCAATGTATTTCCGATGTTTATTACGTTTAATTTTGATATTTATAGGTGACAACCAATGAAAACATCAAATCTGGTATCTCAGAAAATTAGAATATTCTAAAGGCCAATGAAAAAATGTTTGTTTCTCTAATGTTGGCCAACTGAAAAGAATGAACATGAAAATAATGTGCATGTATAGCACTCAATACTTAGTCGGGGCTCCTTTTGCCTCAATAACTGCAGTAATGCGGCGTGGCATGGACTCGATCAGTCTGTGGCACTGCTCAGGTGTTATGAGAGCCCAGGTTGCTCTGATAGTCGTCTTCAGCTCCTCTGCATTGTTGGGTCTAGCGTATTGCATCCTCCGCTTCACAATACCCCATAGATTTTCTATGGGGTTAAGGTCAGGCGAGTTTGCTGGCCAATCAAGGACAGGGATACCATGGTCCTTGAACCAGGTGCTGGTGGTTTTGGCACTGTGTGCAGGTGCCAAGTCCTGTTGAAAGGTGAAGTCTGCATCCCCATAAAGTTGGTCAGCAGCAGGAAGCATGAAGTGCTCTAAAACTTCCTGGTAGACGGCTGCATTGACCCTGGACCTCAGGAAACAGAGTGGGCCAACACCGGCAGATGACATGGCACCCCACACCATCACTGACGGTGGAAACTTTACACTGGACCTCATGCAACGTGGATTCTGTGCTTCTCCGCTCTTCCTCCAGACTCTGGGTCCTTGATTTCCAAAGGAAATGCAGAACTTGCTTTCATCAGAAAACATAACTTTGGACCACTCAGCATCAGTCCAGTCCTTTTTGTCCTTGGCCCAGGCGAGACGCTTCTTGCGCTGTTTCATGTTCAAGAGTGGCTTGACACACGGAATGCGACACCTGAATCCCATGTCTTTCATGAGTCTCCTCGTGGTGGTTCTTGAAGCGCTGACTCCAGCTGCAGTCCACTCTTTGTGGATCTCCCCCACATTTTTGAATGGGTTTGTCGTCACAATTCTCTGCAGGGTGCGGTTATCCCTAGAGCTTGTACACTTTTTTCTACCACATTTTTTCCGTCCCTTCGCCTGTCTGTTAATGTGCTTGGACACAGAGCTCTGCGAACAGCCAGCTTCTTTAGCAATCACCTTTTGTGTCTTGCCCTCCTTGTGCAAGGTGTCAATGATTGTCTTTTGGACAGCTGTTAAGTCAGAAGTCTTCCCCATGATTGTGGTGCCTTCAAAACAAGACTGAGGGACCTTTTAAAGGCCTTTGCAGGTGTTTTGAGTAAATCAGCTGATTAGAGTGGCAGCAGGTGTCTTCTATATTCAGCCTTTTCAGAATATTCTAATTTTTTGAGATACCAAATTTGGAGTTTTCATTAGTTGTCACTTATGAATATCAAATTTAAATGTAATGAACATTGGAAATACATTGGTCTGTGTGCATTGCATGAATATAATGTACAAGTTTCACGTTTTGAATGGAATTACTGAAATATTTTCAACCTTTTGATGATATTCTAATTTACTGGCCAGCACCTGTAATAACAAAAAATGCATACATTGTTTGCTTAAGGCTGTCGCTCACCCATGGTGCAGAACAGAAAATTCGCGGCACAGAACCCCACAGCCATTATTAATGTTGGTTTTAGTAATAGCACTATGTATGGGGAAAATGGGGACATTTCTAAAATGTGCAGCTAAGTCAGCTGAAGAATTGGGCTCGGCTCCGCTATCGGTAATACTCCCCCGCGCACGCTACTGTGGCCTAAACAGGTGAAAACCCCAGGCGTACCCTCAGGTATCTTCCCTGATTTTTCTCAGAGAAAAACAGCCGTCCTGCACATGTCATATTACTTACTGCTGGTGGTAACCTGAATGGTCTACCTCCCCTGTGATGGAAGGGGAAATTCCGGAATTCCGAATTGCCAGAGGAAACGACAGAGCGCTAAATGCTGTTCTCCAGATCCAACCTGTTTTTGGTGGCCCGTGACTTCAAATGGTGTTTTTCTGTTTAGGACTCTGGTAGCTTGTCCTAAAGTTGAAGTGGTAGCAGCCGGCTGTTTCTCCTTCTCTGATATTATTGAGCGGAGATCGTCTCACACCAGTGGTGTTCTGCTTCATTTTTATTTGGTTTAGTTTGTTCCCGTGTCCTGCACAGCTGTTAAGCGATCATAAATGTCTGCCGAAGACCAGCCTCACAGTTTTTCTCTCACAGGTGGAGCGTTATAGCGTCTACTATAATGCCACGCCTGATACCAAAACTTTATTAGAAATACTGTTGTTTGTTTTAAATCCCAACGGACACAGAAACAGCAATGAGAGAGAAAGGGGGAGAGGAAAGGAAGAGGTGGGGGTTCACAACAATAAATAATTAAGGATGTACAGGAATCTGCTTCTAGACCTGCAGAAAGAGAGAGAGAAAAAACGAGACACACAAATAAAATGCGACAGATCAAAAATACTACTGCTCCAACAACATGAGGATATAAAACAGTAACTATTTTTGCTGAAATGCACACGGTAATAATTCATAGTGCATTTAGCTCCAACCACAGCCTTAGGTGTTGTGACAAAAAATGCCTGAGTCATACTTGTGAGAGCACCATGTGAGCACATGTGTGCGTATGTGCTTGTGCATGTAAGGTTTATCTATAGGAGTGTCCAATAGTGAGTGAGGGGTCACAGACCTGTGGAAGATGGAGGAGATCCAAGTTGGGTTTGTGCATTTTTAAATCAGCAGTCGTGTAGTTGAAACATATCAGAACACTGCATAGAGTTGCTTCTACGGCTCTTGTTTTATGAACGTTGTGACTTGTTTAACATCATCAGCTGGTGTTTATTAATGCTGGTTGAGTTACTGGTGTTCATAGAGTTGTTTCACAAATAATGATCAGATATCAGTAAAATGGCATCTACAAATACAACTTATTTAAAACAGTGTTTATGATCTCAAAGGTGATATTAGGACTGCTTTAACCCCCACAATCTGTATCATGAACCTCTAATGATCATCAACAAATACATTTAGATTATGACATCCCTTATTCTCTACTTTGGTTTAAACAAAAGGATTGGTCTCTTTCCAGGTCCAGCACTGGGGTTCATCACAGATTCTGCACTCTCAGAACATTCTCCACTTATTTCATTTCATTTATACAAAACAGAACAATGCTCTCTTTGTCCCGGAGTCTCCAGTTCTCTTTCTCACATTACAGAAGCGATTCTCTCTTCCTTTCCGCAGTAGTGAAGCCCAAATCTGCCCATGTGCTGCACAGCCGAGGTCAGAAATCTCAGCATCGTGTGGCTGTCGGAGTATTTATACAAGATGTTTCACACCAGCAGATACTGACACAAACATGGCAACCTCTTTGACCTTTGAACCTCACTTCACACAGGCTGAAACCTTCACACACATCAACAGTTATCAGTATCCGTGTGAGGAGAGCGACCTTGTAGCAGAATGAAACCAGTTTCATAAATAAAGAGACATAACAGCTAAAAACAAGTCAGAATCAGAAGATTCTTGTTGGAAATAGACTCCCCAGCCTCCCTTCCTCCTCCTCTGCCTCCATCCATCCATCCTTCCTGCCACACTTGGCAGCTTTTTCAGGGTCAGCTGGAGCCTGGTTTGTTTGATGCTCCTTCAAATTGCATTCGTTAACAGTTCACTACCTCCTCCCTCGCTCTCTCACGCTGTCTGTGAGACATTTTATAAACTATTTAGCATCCAATCACACAGCTATGGCATCACAGGAGGAAAAAACAAGCAAAAATAGACACAGACGCTGAGTAAACAAACTGTTTGAGATGGTTCCAACATGGATTCATTTGGGTAACAAATGAAGTCAAAAACCAACTAAATGAACAGATAGAAACCAGATTTATTATTTAGAATGATCGTTTTACTTTCTTATGTTGATAATGTATTATTTTATGTTCATTCAGACAAGAAAATGATGGAACATTATAAGTAATGGGCCTATTTTCATGAGGAAACCATACCATACCTTACCACACCATAGTTTATTTATATAGCACATTTAAAACGCAGCATGGGAGCTGCCTAAAGTGCTGCACAGGCTAAAACAAAACACAACCAATCTAAGCAACTAAAACAGAAGATAAAAATACCGATCAAAAGCAGATAAAACATGAGGAATATTAAGAGCACAACAATAACACAATAAAACACTGAAACAAGTTACTGTCTAAAAGCAACATCCTAGAAGTGGGTCTTTAAATGAGATTTAAAAACCGCCAATGATGGAGCCTGCCGAACTTTAATGGGTAGAGAGTTCCACAGCTTTGGGGCAGCATGTACAAATGCTCGTTCACCCCGTGATTTGTATTGCACCTCTTGCAAAGCAGCAAGAGGTCAGCTGACCTCAACGTGCGCGTGGGCACATAGGGAGTGAGCAGGTCAGAGAGATAGAGAGGTGCCAGGTCGTTGAGTGCTTTAAATACAAAAGTCAATAACTTAAATTGTACTCTGAAAATGACAGGGAGCCAGTGAAGATGTGTCAGGACAGGGGTAATATGGCTATGTCGGTGTCTATTTGTCAAGAAACTGGCAGCAACGTTCTGGACGACCTGCAGCCAATTCAGGGCAGAGACCGGAGCATCAGCTAGGAGGGCGTTTGCATAGTCCAGGTGAGAGGTAATGAAGGCATGGACGACTGACTCCAAATGCCTCCATTTCAAGATTTGTCTGAGGTGAGTAAGGAGGTGAGGTGAAGCTGATAAAAGCAAGACCTCACTACGGAGTTTATCTGTGGGGCCACTGAGAGTTCAGCATCCAGCTTTACCCCAAAACTTCACTCACTCTCTTTTAACGGAAGGAAATGACTGTTTTCCACCTGAAAGTCAGTCTCCCCCCCCCCCCC